CGTGGAATTGGACCCAGGCTTGCAAGTATTTTGCTTATTTCTTTAGAGTTAACATTGAAATAAGTCCGCTCTTGTGTTTTTTTTTGTTCTAATAAATTTTTTTGCGAGAATTTATGAATAACTTTTTTTGAGAACAGCGTCTTGCACAAAATGCATGCAATAAATCCGTTTTTCGTGTCATTGGGCATAGTTTCATTGATAGAACGCGTAACGCATTCTGGACAAAGATTATGTTGACAGTTTAAAATCAACACTGCAAGGTTACTTCGAGAGCAGTTCGAACAAACGATTTCTTGATCCTTGCTATCCAATCTATTCTGATCGTCATCTTTATCGCGGCTAAACGAGGTTGCGAGTTTAAAAGGGTCGTCATCTAATACACGTGAGTTTTTAATATTTTCTATATTCATTATGTGTATATTTACATTTGAAAATGATTATTATTATGATAAGATATATGATTAAAAATGAAAATTATTATTTGCGTGTAACAGTTTTATAAGTGGTTCTAACACAAGTTCGATTCGGGCATTCTCTCGATTTGGCTACATGGTAGACTCCCAGAGCGATAGGAGCGACGTAAAGAGCACCTTTTACAGTTTTTCTGAGACCTTTTTCAAGACAGCATCCGGCCTTTTCAGGCAAAACTCGAGTGGGCAAGAATGAAATGGCTGCAGCAGTTTTAGCACTTACCAAATCCACTGTGTGGTTAATTAAATCAAATGCCTGGTGTCCAGCATGTTTGATAGAGCCACACAATCCATTGTGGTGGTATGTATCAGCCTGAATACAATGCGTTCCAGTGTTGTTTTCTTTAGCAACTACGGTTTTCTTTTCAATACTTTGACTTCTCTGCATGATTATCTCTTTAACTTTTCTAAAATTTATCGAACTAAACATGTTGTTTATTACACTTATATTAAATGAAAACGACTCAATTTTCTCATTTTTTGTTGTCCCAAATATTTCATTATCTGTCATCTTAATGTGTTCAACATCACTATAATTGGTGTCAGTCTGCGTATGTTTTTCAGAAGTTTTACTATCAGTGGCACTAGAATCATTCGGTAGTTGATCCTTTTTGGTATAATAGCTTTTGGCGGAGTCTTCTTCGTATCTTTCCGGAACTACAACCTTACATTTTTCTCGAGCTAGATAAGGGTCGTATTCAGGTAAAGTTTTATCACACCAATCGTGCTCTTTTTTCAAAGCCAGCTGGCCACAAGCAGCTGCGATTTCGTCTCCATGTAACCCGCGCACATAAGCACTAATCCCCATCTCTCGTTTTAAAATTTGATAAAAACGGTCGACTCTTGCAATCGGTGGTCTTTTGTAATTTATAATTACATCTGTGGGATTGTAGGGGATAAGATTAATTGTTACAATATCTTTATACTGCGATAACAGTTCACCCAATTCTACCGCACACTCCGGAGTGTCATTTACATTTTCGAGCATACAATATTCTATCAGAAGTTTTTGTCTTCGTGCATTAGACCGGCTGATAGAAATTTGATTAAGAACAAAATCAGTTGCTGCATCCAACATTTCATAAAAATCCGTAGTATTAGCGGTAACGACTATCTTAGAACGTAACGCTGGATTGGGTGCATGCAAACTCAGAGCTAGCGAGATTTTCGGAGCGTCTAGCTGAAGTCTACGAATGTTTTTTGGTGAAAATCCCACTGTGCTCAAACAAATTCTATGACTAGCAATAGCTAAAAGGTCTAAAACTTTTAATGAATTAATTACATTATCATAATTGTCTAACGGTTCGCCCATTCCCATTAACACTACATTCCGAATTTTCCGACCACGCACGATTTCTACGTGGTTAGCACGAACAAATTGTTCTACTATATTACCCGTGGTCAGGTTCTCCATCAACCCGAGAGTTCCTGTTGCACAAAAACTACAAGCCATTCTACAACCGACTTGAGTGCTAATGCAAACTGTTGATCGACCTTCTCGTGTTTCATTTTCATTATATACAGCGAATCTAATTATGCAGGCTTCAATTTTGGAATTTTTATTTACTTCGAATAATAATTTTGTAGTATCTCCAGTTTGACTGTGAAAGTTGTGAAGTTGTTTAAGCTGAAAAACACGAAAATTAAATTTTACTAGTATGTCTACAGCCTTGTTAGTCAGTATATCACATAAACTTTTCCAAAACTTTGCATTATATTCTATTTTCTCGTTTGGTGAAATTTTAGCCGCTTCTCTAATTAATTTGTCAACAGATTTTGGTCTTGTAATTTCTTTTGGTTTTAATAACAGTTGTTCCAACAGCGCAATGTCAAATATTGAATTAGTAGTTATTTCTTCCTGAGTCATTGTCTACTAAATAAAAGAAATTTGCAACCAAAAATTTTACTGTAAGAAAGAAAGTATTAAAATTTATGATAAATCTGCAAATATCAACACATCAAAACTTCCTGTTTTAATGGTTTTTAATCACCTTCACTATATTTGAAATATTATTATATAATGTTTCTTTCCACACCCCTCTTCTATGCTTTTTTTCTTCCTCATGATATATAGCATTTCTGTCAAGACTACCGTCCGACTTTCTAATTAAATTAGCTGTAACCTTAAATATTGTTGGGTTTTTGTGTCTTGCTAATTCTTCTTTTAGATAAGCTTTAACATTTTCTAGAGTTTCGTCTGCTTTTTCTTCATCTTCTAATACTAACAGAGCCAACAACTCTTGCTTGTTCGGTCTCGTTAGTACTGCAATTACACAACATTCTTTGACGTTTTCGCATTGTAGTATGGAAAACTCAATTTCAGTCGTACAAACTTTTTGGTCTTCAATGGTAGCTATTATTTCATCAGCTGATACAATAAAAAGATCACCTTCTTTCGATATGTAGCCTGTGTCAGTCGTTATAAACCAAGATAGATTAGGTGGTAAAGGACTTAGTTTGGGATCTTCTCGCACAATACATTCTTTCATAAAATTTGAATCTGCTTCTTTGCTTAATTCGGAATACTCGTCAATGATACTACTGACTTTTGAAGTTAACGTAAAATTTCGATACCGCGATTCAAGATGGATTAAGCCGTCTGAATAGAGCGGTAAAGACATCGATGAAGATAATAAACTATTATTTCTTTTAGCGGCGGAACCTTCTGTAAAAATATTGATGTCTTTTATGCTAGAATTATCTGAATCTATAATATCGCCTGATTCCAAAATATTCCGAATCGGATCAAACGACTTTAACTTGCTTGTATATTTTTTGTGTTTATCAAGTTTATCATCTAAATCTATATTTCTTGAGATGGTTTGAGCTTTTGAAACTTTTGTGATATCCTCTTCGTCAACTCGAGTAACGAAAACATAAGCCATGTCTGGAAATTGAAAGTTAGTCCAGTTTATGTCAGAATGAGATATGAAACGGTTTTCTTTGTCTTTAGCGGTTATTAATAACTCAGGCTCGAGTACAGAATAACCTCTAACAACTATCCGGCCAATTTCGTCTTTTGCCATAACGTTATTTTGATTATCAATTATAGCGATCTCAAGACCTACACCGTGTCCTACACTACCTATTGTACGTTCTGACAATTTCGGAAAACCATCACTGGATATCAAATGAGAACAATATGAGCTGCTATAAGATTGTAGTATTGGCACGTTAAATAATTTTTCGAACTCGTAAATAAGCTCTGCACTTAGTTTTGCTGACGAAACTTTGACGAATCTCAGGTTAGATTGAATTTGCATAGTTATATCGGAATCGTCAACAAGTGTTTGAACCATATTGGGAGTTAAAGAAGCCCAAGTTACATTATATTCCAAAATTAACTGCCAGTATACCTTGCTGTCAAAACCATTAGCACTGAGTATAGTTAATGCACATCGACTAATAGAAGTTATGCAACTGACAAGCAGCCCATTCAAACCAAACAAAGGCAACACATTATACGTAACGTCAAAGCCTGTACTGTTTTTGATTTGACCAACGAATTGAAAAATAGATTGGTTGTTGCGGATTGAAGCAGCCAAGTTACGATGCGTTAACATGTATTTATTGCTTGTAGGCGTGATAATAAGCAAGCACGGGTCATATTCTCTGGGAGTTAAAATAAGATCTTTAGACATCTCGTTAGGCAACTGCTTGTCTGGATTTCCAATGACACAAGCAATACCGTTTTTCGCAAAAATTGATTTTTTCGCGTCCGACTCTTTGTCAAGTAAGCTTCGCACATCGTCTAAAAATACCCATTTGAAAAAACATTTTGGTATATTACACTCATCAGCGGCTACTAACGCTTTACCAGACTTTTGATCGGTTATAATCAAATCTATTTCCGTTTGTTTGAAAATTTTGATATATTCTAGTTTAGGCTGTCCGTCTGGTAAGATTAACGCCACATGTGAAAGAGCAGTTATTCCTAAAAACGTAAACAATAATGAACTGCTATAACGAGGTAAAATAATACAAATATTAGACACCTTGTTCAATGATTTTTTAATATTCAAAGAACTTGTTAAAATATTCACTTCGTTGGCAACTTGTCCAATAATGTGTCGTATATCCATTGGTCTAAATTTCAATTTAACATGATCTAAATCGACTAAAACATTTTGTTCTAGTTGATCAAGGTCGAAATCGCAAACATGATTGCTTCGTTGACAATACCAAAGGATTTCACCAAGATGATACATTGAAAATTATATACTTATACATAAATTAAAATAAAAAAGTTGATTCACTGTCAAGAAATATTTTTTTGCTTAAATGACAATATTAATATAATAATAACAATGTTTATCTGATTAAGTTCCGTGCTGAATGTCACAACGTAAGTGGAGCCATGGCGGAAAAATCAACTTCATACGAGCCACCATGATTTACTAGTTTACAATGTTTTACTGTTTTTAAAAGATTTAAATAAGCTCATATGACTAAACAAACTCCTTATGATAAGATTGAAACGTGGTTGAGCTCAAAAACATTTATTTCTTAGGTTGTATAAATATCAATTTACTAATTATAAAGAGATTCGGGAATAGTACCTTTTTTCCTGTACAGAGCTCTTTCTCGAGCAATTCTAAAATCTTGTTGACAAATCTTCATTCTCATTTCACGTAAAGCAATAAGACCAGCCTCAGCGCAAATAGCTTGGATTTCTGCTCCGTTGAGATCGTTCTTTTCAACTACAAATTCGTCAAAATTCACATCCGAGTCCAGAGTCATTTTATGTGTTTTAATTTCGAATATTTTACGCTTAGTCGCTTGATCGGGCAACGGAAGCTCGATTTTTCGATCAATTCTTCCTGGTCTTATAAGGGCAGGATCTAACGATTGAATTCTATTTGTCGCCATAATGACTTTAACATTAGCTGAGTTATCAAATCCATCTAGCTGGTTTAAAAGCTCCAACATAGTTCTCTGAATTTCTTTTTCGCCTCCAGAATCTGTTTGGAATCGCTTTGTTCCGATTGCATCGATTTCGTCAATGAATATTATCGACGGACTTTGATCTCTAGCAAGTTTAAAAAGTTCTCTCACAAGTTTTGGTCCTTCTCCTAAATACTTTTGAATCAGTTCACTTCCTACTATACGCAGAAACGTAGCAGATGTTTCTCGCGCAACTGCTTTTGCTAAAAGTGTTTTTCCCGTACCCGGTGGCCCATACAAAATAACACCTTTTGGTGGTTGTATACCAATGTCGTCGTAAATTTCAGGTCGAAGTAAGGGTAACTCGACCGCCTCTTTAAGTTCTTGTATTTGCTGTTCCAAACCTCCAACCGACTTAAATGATTCTAGTGGAGCTTTGTCGATCTTCATAACAGAAACTAGAAGATTAACGTCATTTTCTAAAACACCAACAACAGCGTTGATTTTTTGATGAAGTAAAACGCTGCACTCCAACTGTAGCTTTGATTTGTCTACTATACTTAAAATTGGCAGGTACGTGTCAGATCCTAAGCTAGTAGACACGATTGCATGAGAGTCGTTAAATAGTTCTTTGATAGTTCCTACCATTAAAGGAGTAGTTTGAAATGACTCTGCTTCTGCCTTGCTAGCATTTAATGTAGTTTGGGTCATTTCTTCTAAGTGCTTTGACAACAAATAATCCCTTTCGATAGTTAGCCAATCAAGCAATCTTTCTAATCTCAGCTGACGCAGAACGCATCTAGCAGTTGGTAAAATGATAGGAGGTTTTGTAGAACTTTCAGAAACTGATTTCTGATGTGCTGTTTTTATACCTTTTGTCGAAATTCCATGTCTATCGATTGCTAAAGAGTATCTGGGAAATCTTCCAACGACAGTTGATTCTTCTTGAGGTTTTAGGTGGTTTCTCAATGCATAAAAAGCATTCATATTTTTCGTTTTAATAATAATGAAAAAATATTTAAATCTAATGGTAAGAAATTAAATATGTACCATTAACTGTGATGTAGAAATATTATTGTTCTATATTTTTTTATCATAATAGTAATTATTTATGTCGCTTTCAATGAATCGTAAACTCAGGTAGTATGATACTCCAAGGTTCTTTAAATGACACTCTGAATAAATCTAATTCGCTATCCCCAGATGAATTTACCGATTTCGAGGGTTTACAAGTGTATCTTGTACAAGCGATCGAAGAACTGACTGAAATATCATGTTTAATTGAACGATGGGTCAACTACCATGAAAGTGAGTCCATTTTGACCGAAGCACAGCTCGAGGAAAAAAAACTTGAACACGAAAAAAATATCGCACAGGCTAAAACCAATATTATCAATGCTTTGTAAGTTATTTTCAAAAAAATAATCTATATAGAAAACGATTAGTTCGACAACTTGGATTTATTAAGAACTTGTCAGCGTCTTTGAACGATGTCTATTTACCTACGGGCTTGATCGAACATGTAAATTCTAATTTGTCGCCCAACATATGGTTTAACGCTATGGCAACAGAAATTAATTTTTTAAAAGCGACGCTCGAAACTGAATTAGGCAATTTAAGCATTGTCTATAACGTCTGGGATAAAACTCAAAATTTTTGCGAGTATTTAATTAATAGGCAAGACAAACAGTTTTCCATTGACATTTCACAAATAAAAAACACTAATACTTACGCAATTGCATACAAAGAACCTGTGATATGGAATTCGAAAATAAATTTAGTGAATATTAGTCATATAACACAGGTTTTCGATGCTGAAAACTGCAAGAAAAATTAAAAAGGCCACAAAGACATAAGAAATTAATTCTAGCGAAATTTATTGTTTGTACTTTAAATAATCTAAAATTTAGATGAGCAATATCACTACTTCAAACACTACTCAAACTAGATTAATATGATTGATTGTATTCATATGAGTTCATGCCACAAAGGTTCTGAGCTCTTGAAGTGGCTTTATCTTGGATATATTCAATAGCATTTGCTAGAATAACGCTGATTGAAACGTACTGAATTTTATCGCACTTGACAACATCTTCCATAGGTGGCACAGAATCAGTCACAATAACTTTTGTCAAGTCGCTGTTTGTGATTCTTTCTACGGCAGGATTGTTAAACAAACCGTGAGTTGCGAAAGCGTATACTGTGCGAGCACCGTTTTCTTTCAAATGTTTCGCGGCTAGGCACAATGTTCCTGCAGTATCGATCATATCGTCTATAATAATACAGTCTCCGTCTTGGACGCTTCCAACGAGTTTCATGTTGTCGACTTCGTTAGCAGCTTTTCTTTGTTTATTAAGCATAGCGAACTCCACGTTTTCTTTTTTGGAGCATTTAATAAACAAATCCATGAAGCGTTGAGCGCGGTAAACACCTCCACCATCAGGAGAAATAATTATTGGTTTTTCTAAATTCAAACCAACAAAAAACTGCATTGGTACTGAAAAAGCTTGTAAGTTATCCAGCACAATGTTTGGCGGAAAGAAACCTTGAATCTGGCCACAATGCAAATCTACAGAAATCAATCGATCAGGTTTCATGGCACAGAAAAGTCTGGCTACATCAGCTGCACTAATAGGTGCTCTGGCTTTCATTTTTCGGTCTTGACGGGCGTACCCGAAGTAAGGCACAACTAGCGTTACCTGGCGGGCACTTGATCGTCTACAAGCTGAAATCAGCAGTAAAGCTTCCATTAAATTGTCGTTTACCGGCCTGCAAGTAGGTTGAATAATGTAAATATCTTTCCCACGGATGCTTTGGCAGATTTCAATGTTGATTTCTCCATCCGCAAATCTTCCACAGATTACCTTTGTTAAACCAATGCCAAGTTCTTCCGCTATTTTCTCCGCTAGAGGAATATTAGCGTTACCGCTTATTAATATAGTTTCTCCCATAAAAGACTAAAAAATATAACAAATTATATAAAATACTCAAAGTAATTTTATAAGCTTGAATTATAATATACATTATAAAATTAATAGTTTATAGTATTTAAATGAACTATCGGAATTGATTTAAAATTTATTTTATTGTTCTGCGTATGAAAGCTTTTTTTCTAAATAAATTTAATATATAAAAGTTATATCATTAGTGATAAATAAAATCTACTATAAAATTCTTAAATCGAAATTTTAAATTTGTTCAAAATCTTCTTCTGGTTGAGATTTTAAAAGCATTGTTTTTAGATTCATTAAAATTTTTGCTGTTAATTGTGAATGGTGAGATTCCAATTTTCTAAAAGAGTCAATTATTTTATTGAAATCAGAGTTTTGCTGAACGTCATGAGCAGTGTTACCAGTTGCGAAAAAAACCTTGCCAGATGATTGATAGTTATTATTGAACTTTTCAAGTTTGCTATATAAATGACTTTGTGGGGTATTAACATGTGTGTTTGCGTAATTGTCATTGGATCGCGCATTTGTAAACTCTGGGTCGTGTTTCTCCGCGACGCCGGACGAAGAAACAAAAAAAGTATTAAAGCGACCGGTATTTTGTAACGATTCAATTGAAGGATTGGTTTTGGTAGGAATTACTGTAGAAAAATGGGTTTTTTCCAACTTCGAGTTAACAGTTTTGTCATCAGTTTTATTGGGGCAAACTTGATAGAAATTATAAGATTTGTCTGGCGAACCTCGCATTTGCATTTTGTGGTTGTAATATTCTTTTTGCACGTGATCAGAAAAAGTTTTTGGCGTCATATTAATATCTATGTTGGCGTTTTTTAAAAGATAGCTTAGATTAAACTTGGAAAGCGCTTTGACGTCGATCAATTTAATAGTAGACATAATTGCTTGATAGACAGGTTTTATGTTTGCCATAATCGCGTAGTTGATAAGTTTAATAAGAAAAATGATGATGTTGTGTTGTTCTAACGCATCTGAATTACTGTAAATTTTAATTAACTTTAACAAGTTATCTGACAACATAGAGTAATTATTAGTGGGCTCAGTAAACGCAACTGGAGAATCGTTTTTATACTTAGGATGAAAATATTCTGGAAGTTTTTTCGCAGACCTGTGGATGTTCATTTCGCTATCATCAGTATATATTACTTTTTTTTCGTTTAGCTTTGTAGAAAAGTTTTGCAAATCTAAAGATGGTTTAGTGGATAAAGCTGAAATACGACAAGTATTGAAACTGTGTTTTGAAGCATAGGTTGTTTCTGATTTTTCAGTTTGAAAAGTTGAATCGGTCATTTTTGAGTGTCCTATATTATCGTTGGTGCCAGCCATGTTTGAGTAATGTTCTGACAAACTGTGCGAATAGCCAACTAAATTGTTTGGTTGTTCTAGGTTAAAGTAGTTTAGCAAATAACTTTCTTTATCATCATTGGAAGAGTTTATGGTCAGCATCGTTTCAGGAAATGAACAATAAGAAAAATCATTTATACTTTGATCACAAGAATCTTTAGTGCATGAAACTTTACTGTTGTCATGTACGTCTTTGATATTGCTGTTGGCCGAATAAAAGGCGGAGTTTGAGATGTCGTCTAAACTAGAAGCAGGCTCTTTATGAACATTTGCAGCAATACGTTGATTATTGTCCGCGCGTGTCGCGTCGCGTTTCGTTGCAGAAGAATTGAGTGTGTCTCTGTCCTTATTAGTATTAGTGACGTTTGATTCTTGCTCGTCTGACATTCCGAACAAGTTCAAAAAATTGTTTATAACCGTTTGTTGGCCGTCTGGAATTTTAACTAAACTAGCTATGTAAGAATTATAATTCTTGTTGTTATTAAATAGTTTGATGAAGTGACTCCCAGATTGATCTGAAGCTTTCTTGTGGTTTTTCGAAGACTGCGACTTATTAGCTACATTTTTTTCGATTTCTGGTACAGGCTTGTTTTCCGAGTGCTCGGTCTTTTTTTTAGAAATATATTCCTTAAAATTAATATTTAGTTTTTTCAAGTTACTGTCCACCTCTCGAATGTCCCCTAAAGAGAAGAAGTCTTCTTCTTCTTTTGTGTCCCACAAGCAGTCTTCGTTGGTATTTTTGTCGCATGACTGATCGCTTGGCTCAACTGCTTTAACTCCCTTATTTTTAATATTGCGAAATACAGTCTTTGGTTTGAATACCTTTGTTAGTATCGCTTCGCGAGATCTATTGTTCGGCAGTAAAATCGTAAGATGATACTTTATATTATGTTTATACTTTAGAAAGTCTTCCTGGGTATAAGAGATCAAACTATCGTTTTTTTTCATTTTACACTTAAACTAACATATCATATAAACATTATATTAACGATTGCTAATAACTATAATTAAATATAAAATAAAAAATTAGAAAATTTACATAAAAGAAAATTATTTTACACAAGGTTAATAAATTTTAATTATGATATGTTTTATCGATAATATATAAACTGAGCTACAAGTTCGTCAATTGTATTTGCAAAAAATAAAACAAATTAGAGTTTTTTTGAACATCGCCAATAAAATAAATTCAGTTATCGAGTATCGATAGAAATTAATTACGACATGAATAATGTTTATATTTAATAAAGTTTCATTTGGTTACTGATTACGAATTTTACTAAAAGCTTTGTTTTAAATTCATGTAAAAGGTATATATTTATATGTTTTGAATGCAACTTTACAAATTTAAGGATTATTTCAATTAGTAACTAAAATTTAATTATATCGTTTTAATATTATATTTTGGCAAAAGATTTGCTGTCATAATGTTTAAACAAAATAAAGAATAATAATTTAATAGTTATATATCTTATGGATCGTGCATTCTTCCAATTAATTTTAATTAAAAATTAATGAAAAAACGTGAGTTTCAACAGGCATAAAAAAGCAATTCGGCAACAAACAATCTGTTTGATTTATCAGTCCCGTTGCTTTTTCAAAACTATGGTTCATAATAATATATAGTTTTTGCTACGTCATAGACGTTGTTTACATGATATTATTTCGTAAAAATAGACATATTTATCTATGTTTTTTTGGATTGTGGTACAATTAATAAAAATTTAAATAATGGGATATCGACTTTACGGTGCTAATATTGAGTAAATGTTAATTACGGTTTGTATAAAAATGTTTATTTTGTTCTAGCAATCGATAATGTAACTTTTCAAGGTATTTTTTGTCGAAAGAATTCCAAAAAACGATCAGCGATTGAATTAGATTTGTTTTAGACGCATAATAAAAAACTTGCGCTAATGAAGACAATAAGCAAAATTGTCTCTGAACTTAGAATATTAGTTTACTTTTTTTTGTTTTCACGATTACTGGCAGATTTCTTGGATTTTTTTTTGTCTATTACACGTTGTAACATTTTTGATCTAAAATCTGTTATGGGTGAAGAAGTCTGAGATAAAATGCTTATTGAAGCACGGCCAAAATTGTCTTCTAAAGACATTATTACAGGTAGAGCAATCTTGAAATTGTTTGGTTTGCTAACATTTTTAGATGCGACTTGTTTTTTTTGAATTTTTTTCAAATTAGTTCGCTGTTTGTTTTCTTTTTTGAAGTTTTTAATGACAGTGTCTAGCGAAAGATCAATACTCATTTTTAGAAATTATTAATTTACAATTTGTTTATTATTGAAAATTTTTTTAAGCAACATATTAATTGATTTTTAAGAATTATTTGTAAAAGATTTTCAATATGTTTCACGACAATAACTAAAATTACATTTCAACTCATAACCTAATTTAATGTCTATTTAAAAAGCTTAAATCATTCTTTTATTATTTTTATGTGTTGATAAACTCAAGTTATGCACTTTGATATTCTGGTTTTTGAGGAGTGTTTAATAACAACATTAGCTAATAATGTTTATAAGCATTCTGCGTCAATATTTAATCTTAAAATTGTTTAAATGTATCGTCTCTAAGCTTTAGTTTCTATCTGGTTTTTGTTCTCTTTTGATTGATATTCTTCATAAATTCGGTTTAATAAAGCATCAGTGGGAGCTAAGTATGCACATAATATACAAACGATGTAAAGCAAACCTGCAATTGATAAAAATACAGCGTTTGTCTCTACTTTCTCAATGGCATGACCTAAGGCAAACATACATAAAATAGTAGAAATTCTGGCTACCATACCACAAATACCGGAAGCAGTTCCTTTGATTGAAGAAGGAAATAGTTTGGCAGGATAGATTAAACATAACGGAGCCGGTAAATTGCAAGATACGTTGTACATCACGAGTAATGCAATTGAAGCAATTTGTAGAAAAAGAGTTGTGCTGTTAAATAGACGTAACAACAAAGAAAGTAATAACAAAGGAGTTGCAGTACTAAACAAGCTGACTAGTAGCGTTTTTTTAGTTCCAACTTGTTTAAGCATCAACATTCCGAGTAATACTCCAAAAATTCCGAAAAATCCCATGAACGAATTGATTAGGTGAGAGGAGTACTTAAGATGTAAACTGTTAATGATGCTAATGGAAAACGCTGCTACACAATAAGAAGGGCTTGCAATACCGGCCCAGTACACTGATACGAATGTAATAGCCCACAGGTTTCTTTTGGATGTGATTGAATCATTTAGGCTACAAATCTCATCATTGTTATCTTGTTTAGTATTTTTTTTTTTGCGATTGGCTAGCCACACAGGAGATTCTTTTAGGTACATGTGCATAATGTAAATTGCTGGAGCGACAATCAATATGTTAGTAAATATCAGAGCCCTCCAAGTGTTGTTCGTATTGAATAAAGCATTGAATAAGAAACCGGCACCAAATGATAAAAATATTCCGAGGAAAAAAGTAAGTTCTGTAATGGACATGATGTTGTTTAATTTACTGTCGTCAATTTGTTCGGATAAGTATGTTGTGATACCACTGTAGTGTGTTCCTGTAACAAATCCAGCAAACATTCGAAAAAAAATAAAAACTGCCAACTTGGTTGACAATGACTGCCCCGTACAAGCTATAATGAGTAAATACCACGCAACCAGCAAAGTTTTTTTTCGACCGAACTGATCCGCTAAAAATCCTCCTATAAGGCTTCCAAAAACATTACCAATTAGTGTTGAAGATCCAATTAAGGAACGTTGAGCACTGTTAAGCGAAAATGTCTGTGTCAAAACGTCCATAATTGGACTTGTAGATCCCATTGAATATCCGATAGCAATATGGCCTAAAATGATACATATAACTATTAATCTCTCATAAGTTTCAGATTTAGATTGTTTCATTAAATTCTGGTTCACATTCGAAGCTGATTTGTCCAAAACCATCTTTTGCAACAAATTATCAACAAGCTGGCTTATATTTCGGTGAGTACAAATTTATTTAGCATCACACACAAGAGCAAAAGTAGATCTTTGTTCTCATTTAATAATGTGCTAAAGTTATATTTAAAATTATAAAAATATTTGTTCTTTTCAAGATAGACGACGTTCATACGTTGATCTAATAATAAAACGTAATATATATTCAAAAAGTTGGTATTTGAAATTGTAGGCGAAAAAAATCGTTGTTTGATATGACGATCGTATTTGAAATTGTCTACTACAATGTTTTATAACACATAAGCGAGTAACTTTTGTAATTATATATAAACTATTTCAGCCAAAATAAAGAAAACTGTGCATCATTAATGTAAAACCTTTATACAAGTTAAGGTCAAAATCATTTATCGCTTTTAAGAGTATATAACTCAATAAATTAATTTTAATTGCTAAAAGCTACGATATAAATTTTTATTTTATGTAATTTTCAAAAAATATTTCGAGTGATAACTATAATATAAGTGGATAACAGAGTTAAGCAGGTATAGAGTTTTTGAATTATTCATTTACAGCTCTAGGACGTAAATTATCATGTTATGTAAAATATATATATTAGATTCATACGGAACATTAATACAAACGTTTGTAGGTTAGTTAAACGTCAAAAGTTTTAGACCAACAAAAATCTACCTAAAAAGCCCGTAAACGAAGAAATAATTATCTCTTCCTTACTATTTGGGTTTTCGCAGATAATGGAAGCAAAAATTAAAACTCAAGAAGAAAGGGAAAAACAAATTGATTGTTGTGAAGCAAAATTGCTCGATTTAAGAAATCTGTTGAGAAATTTTCACTTTATTGAATTTGAAAATTTTAATATTGCGCTATGGTATGATCTAAACAATTATTGTTTCATAATTGAAACGATGAAGAGCATAAAAAAAACAACGATTTTGGAAATTATGTTTAAGCTAAGTTCAGTTATGACATATATAATTAACAGCAATCCGTATGATAAAGAAAGCAATCTAGTCAATTCTAATTTTCTAAAAAGTCGAATAAATTCGATATTAAAAAATTATTTATAAATTTATGTGAAAATTAGCTAAACGCAAGAAAAAAATATATTGAAATTTATGAATGTGGTGTTGAATGAAGACAATTTGTTGACTACCATAGTTGAGCAAATTCCTAACAAGCTGATAGAATCTTTTAGAGAACAATACCAAACAGTAATTAATGATAGAGCTTGTAAGTAATGAGTATTAATAATTTTTCAGCTCGGGAAGCTCGAACAGTTAAGGAAATAGAAGATTTAGACGCCAAAATCGAAGCTAACAAAGCAGGTAAGTAATCAACATTTAATTATGACAATAGAGTACAGCAGAATTTCTTTTTCGATCAATCAAATAACGGAATCTATTGAGGTATGTGTATTTCTATACATTTTGCGATAGGTATTAAAAACGGAAGCTCAATCTCAGTTTGTGACTAACGTAGAGCAAACTGAGCAAACTATTATTACGTTGAATGATCAATTGAACGCGTTAGAAAGTGGTATGTTTGTCATTAATTGTACTTGCGTTTTAGAATTTTTGAGTTTAAGCAATTATTATGAAAGTTCGATAAAAAAAGTGGAAGAATCGATTGAAATATACAACAAAATGTTGGGATTGAGTATTTTAGAAGGTAAAACCCAAACAGATTCGTACTGTTTAGAAATCAACCCTTACGATCAAATGATATACAAAAACAAATTAAAACTAATTTTTTCAAAAGAATTCGAATCAACACTTGAGCGGTTCAAATACAATTTGATTTCGATTCAGCCGGAAATACCAAACTCGATAATCATCCAAAAGCGTTGCGAAGAAAACTTAGATGACTTAGCATTTAATGTGGCTTTGGCCAGGCTCACATATAAAAGTTACTGAAGAGCGAAAAATAATTTTGTTCGACTTTAATAATTAGCTAAAGTAAAAAAAATAATAATTGAAATTCAGTCAATTTTTGCTTTGAATGATTTAGATTAAAGTCTTAATTCAAAAATTCAGTAGAACAAAAATTCGCGCAGTGCACACAATTGTTAAAGTGCTAAAATACTCAATTTAAATGAGAGAAATTATTCAAATACAAGCAGGGCAATGCGGAAACCAAATTGGAACAAAATTTTGGGAAGTAATTGCTGATGAGCACGGTATTGACGGCCGCGGAACGTACAGAGGTGGCAATGATTTGCAGATGGAACGCATAAATGTATTTTTTAACGAATCGCACAATGGAAGATTTGTACCCCGTGCCGTTCTGGTAGATTTAGAGCCTGGAACCATGGACAGTATCCGCGCCGGTCCTTTCGGAGAACTTTTTAGACCAGATAATTTTATCTTCGGACAGTCGGGAGCTGGAAATAACTGGGCTAAAGGATTTTATACGGATGGAGCATACCTGATTCAAGAAGTTATGGATGTAATCCGAAGAGACGTAGAAAGCTGCGAGTGCTTACAAGGTTTTCAGATCGTACATTCTTTAGGAGGAGGCACGGGTTCTGGTATGGGAACCTTGTTGATCAACAAAATTCGTTCAGAATACCCCGATAGAATTATTGAGTCTTTTAGCGTTTTTCCGTCTCCTAAAGTTAGCGACACCGTTGTAGAGCCCTATAACGCTACTTTGAGTGTGCATCAACTGGTTGAAAACACTGAATTTGTAAATACTTTGGATAACGAAGCCCTTTATGATATTTGCTTTAGAACATTGAAGTTAACTACGCCCACGTATGGTGATTTGAACCATTTGGTCAGTGCCGCTATGAGCGGAGTCACGTGTTGTTTGCGTTTTCCAGGTCAGCTTAACTCAGATTTGAGAAAACTAGCGGTTAACTTGATTCCGTTTCCTAGATTGCATTTCTTCATGGTAGGGTTTGCGCCTTTAACGAGTCGTGGGTCTCAACCATACCGAAACTTAACTGTATCCGAAATAGCTTCTCAAGTATTCGATGCAGGTAACATGATGTGCGCAGGTGATCCGCGAAATGGTCGTTATTTAACTACGTCAGTTCTGTTTAGAGGAAAGGTATGTACTAAGGACGTTGATACTGAGATGCACAAAATCCAGGAGAAATATTCTGACTCATTCGTTGAATGGATTCCTTCCAACATTAAAACTGCTATTTGTGACATTCCACCAAAAGGTTTACGTATGAGTGCAACATTTGTCGGAAACTCGACCAGTATTCAAGAAGTATTTAAAAGAGTATCTGATCAATTCGCTTTAATGTTTAAACGAAAAGCTTTTTTGCACTGGTATCTTGGAGAAGGTATGGAAGAATTAGAGTTTACTGAAGCAGACAGCAATTTGGCGGACTTGATTGCCGAATACGATCAATATCAAGGCGCAACAGCTCAAGTGATAAATGATATTCATGATTTTTAATGCTTAGTCAATGTTGTTAAAGTTTTATTTTTCAGATTTGGCTTTTTGCCAATACGTATATTATCATTCAAATTTAAATAGACCAATATTTAACCGTTTATTCATATCTGTGTAGTTTAGTGAGAATTTGTTTAGTTCAAAGAGAACTAGTTTATTTGAATTGTCGCTATGTATTTGGAATTACACTCTCCCATGAAAAGAAATTCGCTGTTGTCTGCTAAATAAACCGAAGCTTCCTGATAAAAATTAACTTTAGTACTGGGGTTGATTTCAAACACGTTTTCTCCCAAAACCAATTCAACACGGCCGGACTCGTACTCAACAAAGTCTCCTATGTAACCTTCGGGAAAATCATAAATAGAAGTGAGAGGATTATTTGAATCTTTTTGCTCTAAATTTGTTTCATAGTACTTATAAGCTCCGGATTTGCTGTTGTTTAAATTGTTAGCATTATACAGGTCTGGCTCAGCGCTTAGAGTCCTGTCAATGGGTTTATTAAATTGATTTTCAATTTTTTCAATGTCGAGAGAAGGCAGCTGGGATGGTAGCTGAATTATGTTCCAGTTAATTTTACCAGCAACGTTAGGTTGAAACAAATTACACGAGTTTTGTGTTTGTACATCTTTCTGGTCGTTAACGTCTGTTTTTTTACAGGACTGTTTGTCGTCGGACTCTGAAAAATAGGGAATTAATAGTGGCGTGTACATATATATTTTCGACAAGTCAGACTGGTCTCTAATTCCTAGTTCGTGAAATTTATAAGATTTGATGCTAGTTTCGTCATTTTCTTTTATATAAGCCAGATTATTAGAGGATTTATCGAGAACAACCAATTTAGGGTGAAACTGTTTGTTGTTGAAAGACAAATTGAAGTTCTGCGAACCTTGATTTTTTTGTTCCAGCCTTCTGGCCAGAATAGACTGCAAATTAGTAGAGTCATTACTTGGACTTTCAAGAGAGTTTGGATTAGTATTTGGTAAATATTGGCTATTCGCAGAACTAGAACTGGAACTTTTAGGTACAAACCGAATTCTTGCTTTTGGCTTGATGCTGCTAAAAGACGGAACAGTTGTGTCTGCTTTGGGTATCAGAGATTTTAGAGAACTTGTTCTCAAAAATTCTAAATAGTTTTGTGAAAAAACAACATACCTGGAATTTCTAACGTTTTTTTGCGATCTGGGTTTTCATCATTATTATTAGAGTCATTACGCATTTATTCTGAATTAAAAAAATTTCACTTTAGTCGCAGAAACGGCGCGGTTGGATTTATGTGTTTTTTTGGCAATTTTTTTGGCTAAATTAAATAAAAATAATATAGAAAATATAGATTTATAGCTAGGCATTATATTTAATGATTTGGTAGAGATTTTTTATAGTTTTTTTGGAATTATTTGGAACCATAAAATAAATGGCAATGAATTCGATGTTTTTGCAGCCGCGGTTTGCCCTACAACGTGCAATCGAATTAACATTAGTCGGCCAAACAACAGAAGCATTTGAAACTCTGCATAATACTTTGTTTGACAAGAGATTTCGAAATACAAACTGGGAAGCAAATGTTCAGGAGGATGTAATGACGAAATACCTCCAATTAGCTGTTCGTTTGGACAGTGTAAAAGCGTGTCGTGAAGTTTTGGGTCAGTATCGAAATTTATGCCAGCATTCCATAGCAACAATTCCCATTTTGGAAGGTGTTTTGCTGAAGTTTCGAGCTGCTGGAGAAAAGCTAGTTGCAGAACAAAGCAACAACAACGCCGAAATCGAGACTGCATTACGCATTTGCATGGAAGTGTACAAATGCATAATTGACTTGATTCGTACGACTCCTGGGCTTCGGACTTTGTACCACTCTACGATTAGACAAGCGTTGAATATGTGTTGCAAGTACGATTTGAAATACGAATTTAGACGTTTTTGCGACGTAGTCCGATCTCAATACCAACTCATTATCAAGTTGAAGCCTAGAATCAACGACAAGGCTTGTCATACAAACGTAGAAATGTTGAAACTACCCCAGGTTCACATTCAGTCCAGAATTATACAGTTGAAATGCGCGTATAAACTCAAAATATGGCGTGAAGTCAAATGCGCGATAGACGATTTGTATTATTTGGGAGTAATAGACGTTTTCAACTCGAATTCGCATTCATACATTCCAAACCAAACTTTAGCGTTTGAAGCACTGAATTCTTACTATGCTTATTTGGCAGCTTACTACTACAAGGGAAATTTTTTTTTGGTACACGCAGTTGCAATGTTACGCTGGATAAGCCACATTGACCAATACCATACCGATTTGCAAGAACAAGATAAACAATTGTTCTTCAGTTTGTTAGCTATCGTTATACTGGCTGTTCCAATTGAGTCTAACTCGCACAGCAAGATTTCTAAACTCGACATCAATATTCGCAAGCACGACGCTTCCTTGTTATCGCTCTACACAATTCCAGAACGTGACCAACTAATTAATATGATTGAGTCCAAAGGTATTCTCAACAAAATATTCCCAGAGGTCCGAGAATTGTTCAACCTTATAGAAAATAGTGATTCGTTTGACATATCGGTTCCTACTAGGGCTTTTAGCATGCTGCCAACTATTTACGAACTATTTAAATCTGCTCGTTTCAAAACAGCTTTGGCCTTATGCCAAACAGATTTTATTTACTTTGAAAATTTGAAGCTTTATTACGAAGCGCTACTCAAGCAGGTGTTCTTACGCAAGACAGTTTTGAAATGCGCTAAGATTTACTCAACAATGAATTTGTCGCAGTTAAAGGAAAAACTATCAACCAGCGATTTGTACAAACCACATCAAGTTCAGTTCGAGTTGCTTCGAATGGCAGAAGAACAGTTGATTGATATTCACATTGATTCACAAAAGTCTGCAATCAAATTTAATAACGAGTCGTCAAACGATCTCCACAAGAATATATTGAGAAATATTATTAATATTAGCAGCAACTTGTTCCGCTTCATTTTAACAAATGATAAGGAAGAAACTGATAGCGTTGACAAAAAATTAGAGCTCCAAAACCAGATTGAAAAAGAACAAGAAAACTTCAACAAGCGCAGACTCGAATATGAAGCAACCCGTGTCAAAGTTGAGAAATACAACCAAAAGTATAACGATTTACAGCAAAAAGCTATATTCCAAAAGGCTCAGCAAGTCAACGACGCAGAAGACAAAAAAGCTGCTGAACTCAAAAAAGAAATTGAAAACAACAAGCTCATCCGCGAAGCCGAAGCCAGAAAATTGCAGTGCGCTTCTCTTGCATTGATCAAAATGAAAGCTATTGTTCAAGCACTTGGAACAACTCCAGAGAAGTTCATGATTCATGATATTCCGCTTTCCCAGGTAACCACCCAGCACTTAGTTAGTCAGGTCATCACTTTACAAGCGTTTGGGCAAGCAATTAAAAACTATACTTCTAAAGTTGTAGAAAAAGAAAAGAAAACTGTCATTAAAAAACATAAAATTATTGATTATACGGCTAGAGCTATTCGCCAACTGAAAGAAAATAAATTGGACACCCTTGAAAAGCCACTTGATGAGTTTAAACAAACCCGAATCGAAACTATCAACAAAATCATTCAGAAATTACACGAAAGTATTGCAGACAAAAATGAGTTTGTAGAAGATAAAGTACCACTTATATTGGAGTACATTTATCAAAAGTCTGATTGAACCACGTTACATAAACCAGCGTTTTCAAGTTTTAGTTTTTTCATTATTATCTTTTTTTTCCAAAACACTTTATTCACAAGTCGCAAGCGCGCGAAATGCTCGTATAAGTCAGTATTTGACGTCTCTAATCATGTATTTGTGCACAACGCCGCATAGGTAGTTATCTGAATTTACATTATGAAATATATTTCATGAAAATGAAACTACGTTATTTATAACATGACAAGTTTACAACTGAACATATTGAGCAAAAAAACTTAACTAACTAGAGCACATATATATGGAATTAAATTTTTTTTTTCATGAGAAGGTGGGATTGATGTGAAACGTGTCTGATTTTGCGATCTTCCTTGGCTCTAGATCTGATGATTCTACTGTGGATAGCGCAGGAAATGCAGTGGATTTGCTTGATGTATGTTTTTGGTATGTTATAACCTTCAATTATACTGTTTTCTCTGATATCGTTTCGGCTACCAATATCGACCATGTTTCTAACATTAAATCTCTTGATAGCTTTGTCCTTTGGAACGCATCTTCCGCAGTTAACACATCTTACTGCACGTACGTGGCCGCAGTTCTTTTTAGAACGTCCATTATTTCTTCTTTTAGAAGCCATAGTAAGATTTCGACTTGGTATTAATAAATTTTATTTACTGTTATGTCTAATTTTCAAAAACCCATAAATTAGCCTTTCAATTTTCAGTTATTGCGCTAAATATTTATATTAATTTATATAATATTCCGCTTATTTTAACGCTATTTATGTGTATCCCGCGACAGGCTTTTTGTAATAAATATTACTTATGAGTTTGGTTTTGATTTTATTTACTCTTGAGCACTGAAGTATAATAAGCGGAATATGAATCACAATATCGACTTTTACTATATTGTGCCGGCCGCCTAATTACAAATTTCACGTGTTTCGGATGTAAATCTTAAAAATTTTCTAAATGCTTTTCGAAGCTGCTATGTTTTTCATTTTTATAAAGCGCATTTAATGATTTTTTTGATATGGTTCCATTTAAGTATGTTTTACTAGCCTTGCCGTTGGTTTATAAACATACGTTACAACTGTGCAAAAAAAGCTTAATTACTCGTATTAGTTATATCATTCAACGCACGGTGGAATCTGGAGTTGGTTTGTCTGATTTAGAAGCTTTGTATTATAAAGTTTTACATAAAGAGGCTGTATCTTATAAAAGCTTGGACATCGTGAAATTGTCCAAATTTATTTCACTTCTAGGTTATACATTTGAATCAAATCCAGGTATAACTTGGGCAGAAAATTTAACAGTAATTTCTAACAGGGTTTGTG